GTGTGTGTGTGTGTGTGGTGTGTGTGTGTGTGTGGTGTGTGTGTGTGTGGTGTGTGTGTGTGTGTGTGGTGTGTGTGTGTGTGTGTGGTGTGTGTGATGTGTGTGTGGTGTGTGTGATTGTGTGTGTGTGTGGTGGTGTGTGTGTGTGTGTGATGTGTGTGTGGTGTGTGTGTGTGTGTGGTGTGTGTGTGTGGTGTGTGTGATGTGTGTGTGTGGTGTGTGTGTGGTGTGTTGTGTGTGGTGTGTGTGTGTGTGTGTGTGTGTGTGTGTGGTGTGTGTGTGTGATGTGTGTGTGGTGTGTGTGATGTGTGGTGTGTGATGTGTGTGTGGTGTGTGTGATGTGTGTGGTGTGTGTGATGTGTGTGTGTGTGGTGTGTGTGTGGTGTGTGTGTGTGTGTGATTGTGTGTGTGTGGTGTGTGTGTGTGTGTGTGTGTGTGTGTGTGTGTGTGTGTGTGTGTGGTGTGGTGTGTGTGTGTGCGCCCACGTGCACGCACTTGCAGGATATGGGGTGAGAAGGGGAAGGTAATTCTAGAGAGGATTAAGGGAGGCCTCTAGTGAAGTGACAAGCAGTGACTGAACAACCCAGCAGAGTTCCATCCAGATGGAAGGAGCAGGGCAAAGCCCAGCATGGCCACATAAGAGCAAGGAGCAGAGGGATCAAGGTGGAACAGGGGCAGAGGCAAGGACAGAGAAGGCTGAAATAAGAGCCTAGTGGATTTGTTCTCTGGGAAGTACAAGTGAAGAGATTCAGGCTGAGTGGCTAAAGGAGAGATCTGAGCCTTGATCTTGCTAGGCAGGTGCTCTATCCCTTGAGCCACGCCCCAGTCCTTTTTGCTTTAGGGTGTTTTTTTGTTTGTTTTTTGTAGTATCGGAATTTGAATTCAGGGCCTCACACTTGCTAGGCAGGCAATCTACTGCTTGAGCCACTCCGCTAGCCCTTTTTTTGTGATGTATTTTTTCAATATAGGGTCTCCCAGACTATTTGCCCAGGGCTAGCTTCAAACTGAGATCATCCTGACTTCTGCCTCCTGAGTAGCTAGGATTACAAGTGTCAGCCATTGGCAGTCAGCTTGTTTTAGTTATTTTTAATCGGGTCTTGCTCTTATGCCTAGTTGACCTGGACCATGATCTTCTTAGTTATGCTTCCCATGTAGTTGGGGTGACAGGTGTACACCACCACGCCCAGTTTTTTATTGGTTGAGATGGTGTTGCACTGTTTGCTGCCCTCAAACTGCAATCCTCCCATTCTCAGCCTCCTGCGTAGCTAGGATCATATCCTTGAGCCTCTACATTCAGCTTGTACATGGGTTTTGAGTTGGAAGTGCCTTTGAGAGAGATCACAAATAGTTAGAAAAAAAGTACAAGCCTGGGGAAAAAGGACTGTGTCAGAGGGAGAGACATGGAGTCACTAGCAAGCAGATGGGATCCAGAGCAAAGCAAGGAGGCCCAGGACAGCTCTTCCTTTAGGTCAGTGAGAAAGAGAAGGCTCGTTTGGGGAGTCTGAAAATCAGCATCCACTGGAAGAGAAAAACCCATGAAGTGTGTGTCAACAAGTGGGAAATGAATGAAATTTGAAGTTACAAGGGAGCTCAGAGTACAGTTGGTTTGGGGATTTTTTGGTTTGTTTTTTTTATTTTGGCAGTTCTTGGTTTTGAACTCGGGCCACTTTGCTAGGCAGGCACTCTTATCACTTGAGCTACTCTGCCAGCCCTTTGTGTATTTGTGTGTGGCGGCGGGGGTGGGGGTACTTTTTTGAGATAGGATCTCACAAACTGTTTTTCTGGGCTGGCCTCGAACCATGATCCTCCTGATGCCTACCTCTGGAGTAGCTAGGATTATAGGCTCCTGACTGAGCATGCAGTTGAAAGCCACATTGGATTCCTGTGAAGAAGAGTGGTAGGCAAGACAGGAAGCACATATATTCTCCTTGTTTTTGTGGCACTGGGGTTTGAACTCCGTTCACACTTGCTAGGCAGGTGCTCTACCACTTAGGCCACAGCCTCAGCCCAGGAAGCACATGCATTTTTGTTTTATCCTTCTACTAACCTGCAAAATGTGATCCCTGATTCACAGTGAGGAAACAGGTTCAGAGAGGGCAACTGGCTAAGACCACAAGAACATTAAAAGGCATGGCCTAGATTCAAATGTGAGTCTGTCTGTGGGTTCCCCAGCACTTGATCATGATGTCATAAGCAGCCCCGTGTCTCCTGGTTTGTCTCTGACATTAATGCAGCTGCCCACCCAATCTGAATAACTTCTTGGCAAAGGATGTCTGAAATTGTCCCAGGGGAGAGAGGACAACAGGAAACAGTGGTGTCTGGGGATGGCCACACTGTCCAACGCCTGAAAGACAGCTACTAAGATTAGTTTTTTAGTCAACCCTGTTTCCTGGAGCCTGCCCAAGTTCTTTTCTAGCTCCTTCTACATGGCATTTCAATTCAGGCCACTGCTCACAGCATCTGCTTAGCATTGTCAGGCATCCTGGGAACTCACTGATTGATGCTAAACTGTGCAGGAAGGAGGGATGCTTTGGGTCTTTGGGGAGGCTGCCCACACACCACAGCCACCCCCAGCCAACACCAAGGTGCTTGTCCCTTTCTCATATCATCCTAAAGCAGATGAAGAACTTTTCTCTTAAAGCTTCCCTGTAATAGAGTGGGGACAGAACCAAGCCAACACACCTGAAGGCACATGAGCTGGGAGTCTCTGATCTGTCCACATGCACAGCTAGACTGAGTGGCATCACAGCATTGCCTGAGCCCCTCACATAAATGACAAGAAAATGGGGACCTAGAGGCTGCTAGGTTATGAGGCCAGTCAGTTGTAAAACCAGGACAGAGCCTTAGCCTGATTCCTAGTTCTCTTGCACCTCGTTCTTTTTTGGCAGGGGGTTGAGCAGGGGTTTGAACTCAGTGCTTCACACTTGCAAAGCAGGTGCTCTACCTCTTGAAACACCTCCAGTCCATTTTGCTCTGATTATTATTATTACTATAATTATTTTGCATTCCTGGGGTTTGAAATCAGGACCTTCACCTTGAGGCACTCCACCAGCCCTATTTTTGTGATGGGTTTTTTCGAGATAGGGTCTTTCGAACTCTGCCCCAGCTGGCTTCAAAAGGCAATCCTCCTGATATCCACCTCCTGCGTAGCTAGGATTATAGGCATGAGCCATTGGCACCTGGCTGCTCTGATTATTTTGGAGATGGGGTCTCCTGAACTATTTGCCCCAGCTGGCCTCGAATATCAATCCTCCTGGTCTCAGCCTCCCAAGTAGCTAGGAATACAGACAGTACCTGACTTGCAACTCACTTAAGTGGCAGTGCTTATTCTGGGATTTTTTTTTCATTGAAATATTTTCAATATAATTCTCATTCATTATAATATTAAAAGTTCTCTATTCCATCCCCTGATGAAGTAATTTTTAATAATTTGGTATATAGAACACTAAATTTGAATGCATCTTGCTATAGGGTGAAGATCTTATGAAAACATTGCTGGGCACCTTTTCACAGGTGCAGGTTTCTCCACGGAGTGTCTATAGCTGTGGAACCCAAAATCAGAAATATGGGCTGATGAAGTCTCCTTTCTCTGACTTGCGATTTTAGTAGTACAGGGAAATCTACAATAGAGCAGCTTGGTGGCAGAGTGGACGCTTAGCATGTGCAACACCCTGGGTCCAACCTGCAGCACCAAAGAGAGAGAAAAAAGCTGGTATGCTGCTACATGCATGTAGCCCTGGGGAGGCTGAGGTGGAGGATCATGTGAGGCCAGCCTAGACTACATAGCAATCAACACCCTGTCTCAAAGAAAAGAAAATCATACAGCAGAATAAAATTTATATCCTGTTTAGAGACGTCTGGACGTTGGAGGGCATGATGAACTGTAAAAATGCCTTCTCTAGATAGACATGGCTCGGTTCTTGACTAGCTGCACAAACTCCAGCAAGCTACTTGGATTCCCTGTGCCTCAGTTTTCTCATCCATAAAATGGGGATAAATACAGTACCTACCTTATACCTGGTACATGATAAGCAATTATAAATCATAGCTGATTAATAATAGCGTTGTCATCAACCCCCAATTAAGAGCCAAGCTATTGCTTATTTGGGGCTGGCTGACATCACTCACACAATACTTTGGTACCTGGGGTGTGTGTCTTCTGGGTATACAGCATGGGACAGGGAGGTTGTACTCTATGACAAGAGTCATTTGAGAATAGTACTAGTGTGAGGCAGGAGTGTGCCGTTGACCACCAGTTCCCCCACCTGGGGCTCCAGATTCGCAGTGACATGGGTAACTTACCTGAGGTCAGTGGTTCCCATTTTCAGCTCTACCATGGAGTCCTTTGGTTAACTTTTTTTTTTCCTTTAAAAATAAAAAAGAGTTTACTGAGTAGAAATTGATTGTATGTTTTGTTTTGTTTTCAGTGCTGGGGATCAAATCCAGGGCCTTGCACAGGGTAGGCAAGTGTTCTACCACTGAGCTGCAACCCCAGCCTGACTTGCTTTTATTTTCATTCTCTTATTTTGTGTTGCTGGGTTTTTTTTGAGATGGTCTCATTATGTAGCACAGACTGGCCTTGAATTCAATATCCTCCTGCTTTTTTCTGAGCACTGGGATTACAGGCATGACCCACCCCACCCATCTATTTTTAAAAAACAAAAAAACAGAAAACTGCTGAACTGGGCAGTTGAGGAACAAAAAAGAAACCTAAAGAAACATAATTTCAGCCAAAGGGAAAAGTCTTTTCTTAGGGTAAATGTTTGATCTTTGAGAATTCTTTAAAATATGCAAAAAGACAAGACTACCATGTAGTACACACATTAGAGCTTGGAAATGACTGGGTTTAACCACATCTAATCTTCCTTTGAGTTGTGG